TCTCTCTCTCTCTAATAAATAAATAAAATTTAAAAAAATGCTAAAATATGGAAATGCATAAAAAGAGAAGAAAGATAAGGAAGCAAATATTTGACTCTACAATGAAAAATGCAAAGGCCATACATTTGCTCTTACATAGACTGATCATTTCCTAGAATGCTTTATGCTTTTTCTGCTAGAATTGTAATACTGGACTGCGACATTTCTTTGAGCATATAATGGATGTGTTCTCCACATATTTATTCCACAGAGCAGATGAAATTATTGCAGAGAGCTGATCACAGCTGCTGAGCAAAAGTTACTCATATTTGAATAGGGAGTAATTTATCTTTCTTTGTTTCAATAACCAAAACTGTTTCGGTTGAGCAAATTTTAATCACTGGGGTACAAATGAAATATACTTAGAAACTATTAGATCATAACATTTGAAAATGTGTTTTTACTTACTTCTTCAAAGATAAAATGCAGCTTAATAGTATTAAAAATAACATAAACTTTCAAATATGTTGCTTAAAGAACAGCAGAGAAGAGAAACAACTGCATTTTCTTTATGCAAATAAGTGCAAGCTTGTCATTTCTCAGCAAATAGGAATGCCTTGGGATTGAGTGTGACTCAGTACATAACATTTAGAATCCAAAGCTGAAGCTGACTGCTTTCTTTGAACTAGAAGTAACATTCCTTTTTATTTTTTATTTTTTGTCCATTTTCCCCTCTTCCTCTAATTTGTACTTTTTTAAAAATCAGAGTAAGGATTTCAGAGTTGTTTAAGGGAAGCTCTTTGCACTCAAAAAGATACATTTTCATTTGGAAAGTATAAAAATAAATATGATGATCAGCAGAAATCTAGTATGATCAAAAAGGCCATGAATGATTATCCATCTTGTTCTCAGAAATAATGAGTGAGATAAAAAGAGATAAAGCAGAAAAGTTATTTCAGTATATCAGCATTCCATTAGAGACAGGTTTTTGAGCCCAAGCCTCCTTCCTTTGGTTTGGTTTTGCCTGGGTCTTTTGGCCTCATCAGGCTGCCTTACACATACCTGAAGATGAAGGGCACGAAGGTTTTCCGGGAGAGGCAGAGGAATGTGGTCCAAGTTGTTATCAGTGAGGTAGAGATGGTGGAGGTCATACATATCCTGTAAACAGGCCAAATGTCACAATTTAACAGAAGCCCCCCTCCATGTGGCTAGGAATGAAATAAAACATCCCTCTGCAGGTCATGTTTTCTGGTTTCCAGACCATTAGCTGAGTTTTAGGGGGGAAAAATGACAGCAAGCGAAGTCTTTCCTGACCTCTAGGAAGAATTTTTCCAGTTCAAGAAAGGCAGACCATTATAGTAGGATTTTGATGATACTGATGAAACATAACCATACTTTATTTTATAGTTATGCAGACATGAGCATTTCTTCTTCCCTCAAAACTTTTATCCTCACAAAGAAAAAGGCAGTTAGTAAGAGAGAAAACTGTTAAACAATAACTTGTCTTTTCTTGCTGAACTGTACAGAACTGCGACTCCATCAACCATGCTGACCTACTCTGACTCGCTAGGCTGCAAGGATGCCCCTTATTTCTCTTGCAAAACATGATCAGGAAGCCTAGCAGGAAGACAGTGTTAAAGAGGCCACAATACCCACTCTGTATTCCCTGGGAATAACACGGCCTCTCTTCAAAGAGTACTTTAACACCATTTCCTCCAGGAAGAATAAGGATGGGTAAGACAACCAATCACCTAAGGTTCTCAAACTCTCAGCTACTGTTCCAAGCAAGGCCTCTAGCTCTGTACTTGTGTTCTTTACTTAGAAAATAAAACCCCTAAGGTTAACTTGATCTGTTCTGGGTCATTTAAAAGGCTTTGTCCCTCGTATTTCCTAAGTAGTTATCCTTTGAGCCATGTAAAGTACTCTCTCTAAGTGGAGTTTTGGGCAAATGCAAATTGTTCACTTCTAAGTAGCCACCCACTTGTTGTTGTAGCTCTTCTTTTTTTTTTTATTTTTATTTTTTCTGTTCCTGGTACTTGAGTATCTTCAGAATGTACAGAATGTACCAGTACACAGTATTTTTCAAAAGCATGATAGATACAGCAGTGAAGTTTATTTTAGAAGTAAGAATTCATTAAATTCGATCCTGTTATAGAAATAGAAAGGCTCACTATTAATAGCAAATGGAAAGGAAAGAGGAAAGTCTTTCTTATGCAATCTGAAACTTACTTTAAATGCTTCTTGCTTGATCCCTTTCCTCCCAAGTCTATTGTTGCTAATGTCAATAAATGTCAGAGTGGTTGGCAACTCTGGGAGCTGCCTGATTTTGTTGTCACGAAGGATAAGCTCTCGAAGTTGAGGCAGCTTTCGGAATGCATCTTCATCAATCTCAGATATTAAATTTGATGTCAGATCAATCCTTTTTAAATCATCTAGAGCAAAACAATTGAAGGAAGTACATACTCTGAAATATGGCTTTTGCTCATATAAAATATGAATATAAAATTCTCTGCATATTCAGAATGCAAATTTGAATTTAATAGTGGATGGTTAATGAAATAATTAGCCCTAGGTATGTTATGAAAAATGTCATTTCCAATTATGCTTTGTATTGATGTACTTACAAGAAATCACAACATTAGCTAAAAACGTTGGCATACTTTTTCTAAAATAACTGGTCTTCTTCTCCACACACTTCATAAGTTTTGCCTGGATTTTACTCTTATAAATGTTTTTGTCAAAAAAAGAATATGCAAAGATACAGGAATTAAAAGGGAATCTTTAAGTGATTAAACTATTTTACAAAGACAAGTACTAATATTCTTCTAAGTTGGCAACAACTATACAGCCAGAATTTAGGCTTACACAATCAATCATAAAATTATTATGCTTCAGTTACAGCTTGTTCAAAGCACCCTGATCCTTATAAATATATGACAATGACATTTAATCTTAATGTCACCAGATGAAAAGTTAAAGCATATAAAATAAAACTATTTTGATATTTATTTGAAAATGACTCATTTGAGAACATCAACAGCATTATGGTTTCATGATGACCATTAATTACCAGTTTGTTCTTATCATTACTAAAACAAAGTTCCAAATACTTAAGTAAGAAAAAATTTGTTCATGAGCCAAAATCTGTTATTCAATTTTCGTACTCAGAGCCAGCATTTTACAGTATCCAGAGCCTAGAGAAGAATGTAAAGAACATGCTATAAATTAACACTGGCATCCATACTTAGGCTTGCAAAGTCATTTCTGTTGATCTTTTTAATTCTGTTAAAACGAGAGTAGAAATAAGCGGTGCTCCTGGGCAATGGAGGTATGGCGTCGAGTTCATGGTCATCGCAGTAGACGGTGGTACTTATACAAGTACACAGGAGGCAGGTTGGAAAGTCTAAAAGATAGAGGTAAAAATTATATGTGAAAAACAAAACCTCATGAGAAAGAGCAGCATAAGGAACATTTGCTGAACATGATTACAGTCTCACAAATATATCCTGATATATTTTGTATTTCTTGTATATTTTCTATAAATGTAATAGTAATATCAAGTGTCAATTAAAGCTACTTCAACATTTTAAAAATGCAGATGGATTGTATTACAGATGGATATAGCGTGATTGATATACTTTTATACTACTTTGATATTCTGTTTTTCAACTATAAACACCAAGATTATGCATTTTATACAGTATCATACACAATATTTTCAATCAAACTTTGATTCAATATTTTAGCTTCCTACTAAATAAAAACATAACAATAATAATTAACTTTTATTAATTCAACACATGTTATTGAATACTTGTTGTATAAATTTTACCATGTTAGTGAGTAAAATAGCAATGAACACAAATACACAGTTCCATTTTTATGGTCTGCTGTGTAGAATGAATGTTAATCACACAAAAATGTTGGCTTTTGGCCGTGTTAAATGTCATAATGTATCATACGAACATGACCTATGTATTTTGGCCCAATCAGGGAGTGATGGAAGGATGTTCTTTTGAGAAATGATAATGGACTTGGTTTCTGTAGGAAGAGGAGAAATTGCTTATGTAAGTAAAAAGGAAGTATAAGCCAGACAAAGGAAGCAGCGTATGCCAAAGTGCCTCCCCTTTGGAACAATTCTTAGATGGTCCACTTGGCTAAAACTAAGGGCATCCTAGAGTGTGGGTACAATGGCAGTTATTTTGGAGAGACTTTGGCAGATCCCAGCTCAGGAGCCTTATGGGTTATATTACCAGCTTTGTTCCTTATTTCAAGGATAGGCTGGAGGATTGCATGATCTGACTTACACGCTAAGAGATGCTTTGCCTGAACTGGGGAGGGGCAACTGCAAGAGGAGGGCAGATGTGAAGTTTGAAGGTGAGTTATACTGCAGACAAAAGTTAGATTAATTTTAGGGTTAAATTAAGCTAGTGACTTGGTGATAGACAAGTCAACAAACTGAAGAAGTTTATGAGGTGCTTCTATATCTCAGTGCATCAATTTAGTTTTTTCTCTGTGTCACATGGACACACACACATACACACACACACACACACACACACACACACACATACACCCTTGCCCCTCTTTCTCTGTTTATTAGCCAAGTAGAGAATGGTAAACTTCTAAAGAAAATAGAGAAATACAAAAAGTGGGAGAGCAAAATACGGAGGCAAAAAGGAGAGAAAGTTTTACAAGAAAGTAAAGAAGCAAGATTCTAAGCCAGATGAGCTGGCAGTAAGTTAAGGGCAGAAAACATGTTGTTAATGTTGAAATGGCCTTTGAAACAATCAGAGAGAAATAAAGGAATCTGCAGAGTGATGAAGCCAGAAGCCAGATTGCAGCCAGTTTAGGAGGAAGATGAAGGAGAGGAAAATTGATAGCAAATGTAGCTAAAGCGCTTAAGTTACCTGACTGTGAAGAATGAAATGAGAGATGGCAAAAGTCTAAATCGGTGTATCTGGGCATTATCTGATGAGGTATGAGATTAGCATAAAAAAGATTGGAAGGAAGATTCAGGGAAAGACTGTAACAGAATGTGAAATGGCTGTGGAGTTTGGAGATTGCTGATTTAAAGAGAGGACAAGACAAAGTGGACTCAATTATAATTCAGCACCGGTGTACCAGACCTTGATTAGTGTGGGGGCCCAGAACCCCTGTGAATTCTGGTTCCTGCAGGGAAGAGCCATCGATCAGCCTGGGGGTGGATTCCTCTTCCTCCTCCTCCTCCTGTGTCTCCTCCGCCTGTGGAGCCGGAGCGAGGAGCTCCCTACTCCCTGAAGGCATCACTGTCACTCTTTCAATCTGAGGACAAAAAGCAGACAAAAGATCTACAATCTGAGGTCCAGGATCTCAGGATAAATCCTGAGGGGATTTCACTGACCTTATCAGACCCAAAAACTACAACTCTTGTTGCATAGGTCTTGCTTTATCTTGGTCTTAATCATCCAGCAGAAAAGTATAAAAATGAAGTATAAGAAGTAAAGCCACGCTGTTGTGTTAAGCTATAGGGAACTCAGGTCAACAATTTCTGACACTGCCAGTCAAGAGGAAGACCCAACACTATTATGGAGTACTGGACTCTTTTAGAATATTTTGCTGAGTTTACACACCTATAATATTCAAATAACAGAATTTAACAAAAAAGGGGATACAGATGAATGTCCATTTTGTATCTGTGTATTCAAAGTGGTTAGGATAGATTTATACTTACATTCTCTTAATGAATTGAGGAGTTTGTTCTAATGGTTTTTGTAAATAGGATATCATGTCCGCATCTTGTACAGCAGTTAACCACTAGGAAGAATGTATGCAATGTGCTGATTATTGAAACTGTCCTACAAATTTGGTTTGAAACTTTCTCATTGCTATTTGTTTCTCAATAAAATTATGGGGGGAAAAAGGCAGAATATGGTCAGGCAACCTCAGTCAGCCTGTCTAGCAGCAACAAAATTAAAACACATCTGTCATTGCCACAAGATGTCGCTGATGTCCTGAAGTTAGACACTATCTGGCCAGCCTGCTGGGGTTGTACAGATCATTTAAGTGTCTGTTAGTGTTTCTAATGAATTTTGTTTTTTAGTTCTTGGAAATTATTTGCAAAACTTTCGTTGGTGTTCTTGCTGTTTTCCATCAACATGAGCTAGTTTTATTCATCTCATAGGTTTTAAGGAACTTCATTTATTGTTTTCTTTTTTAAAATTAATTTTACTGAGAAATAAATAACAATAAGACAGTTTCAAAACAGTTTAGTAGAACAGTTGCAATAATGAATACATTGTATATTGTTATCTTCATAATAGTTATTCAAAGTACAAGATACAGATATGGTATCTTGTCTAAATACTATTAGTATGAATCTTTCTTCTCATTGAACTAAGAGAAAGTAGCTGTATATCTATCCTTAACTATTTTGTGTTCTAATAATACATAACATTATAAGAATGAATCATCGTTGTGAACGAAGTGTATAAATTCCAAATCTCCAGCACTGCCCACATTATTTTACTCCCTCGAAGATAAGAATTAATACAATGTGTGTTATCTTTTAAAATTTCATTTTCTATATTTAGTAGTCTTTCCCTTACCAAAACTTATGCTTTCTGCTAAAATACAATGTACTATGAAGCTAAAACAATATGATTTCAATGTAACATTTAATTTACCATATATTTCCACATTATTTCAATAACAAATACCACACAAATGATTTATGTTCAACTTAAAACTTTGACAAAAGGCAAATTGATAAACTTGCAAAACTATTCAGACAATTTTCAGATTATACTTTTTATTTGTAATTTCTTTTTATTTTTAGACATGATATGAATAAGTTGCTAAGTTTCTTAGGATAGACTTGAACCTATGATTCTCTACGACACACAGCCATATAATTTTATATTTGTTTCCATCCTTATTTGCATATTTAAATAAAGATCTGTTGCTTCTATGAATATGCCTGGTGTTTAGAACATCTCCTCGCTTCCAGCTACTCCTCTTATCCCAGTATCCGTTCATTTAGAGTTCTTAGCATGTGCCTTCCTCTCTGATCAGCTTAGATGCTTGGGCTGGGAACTTGTTCAAGGCATTAGGGGTGGAAGCACCCAAGATCCACTCTTTTTGTGCCATTGTCTTCCCCAGAAGGTAAGAAATCTCAGATTTTCCCTTGACCTCATCAATACTGATTCTTGTTCCTTTGCACCTTCTTTGAATTTCTTAATAAAAATCAAGAAATACAAATTACTTTCTAAATTTTTAATATAAAAATAATGAATGAACTGCTTTCATCTATGAAAATGTATTTAATGAGACTAATTTCTAGTTGCTTTTGATCATCTTGAGATTTTATAGTTCTATTTATTAATGAATACCACTTTTATACATTTTAATACACCACTGAATAAATGAAAATGTCCCTATAAGAAATGCTGAACCTTCTTTTGTTCTTTAGAGTCTCCTTCAGCTTTTCTTATCATGTTCCACAATCATTTCATTGGGTTCATGCATAGCAAGTCTGCTGGTTGGTAAACACTGAATTGTGTCTTCTATCTTTAAACCTCTACTCTGCAGCATAAAAGACAATCAACAAGTTCTTACTGAGGTAGAATTAAAGAAAATGACACTTGTCCAAAGTGTATTTAATTCACAGCTCTATGCTTAACTGTAGAGATTTTGCTGAGAAGAATCAATGACGGTGCTAATGCTTCCTTTAAAACATAAAAAGCAAGAAAACAAAGCGACAGATTCTGCACCATTTGATATTTTAGGAGCCATGCATGAAAACTCTATAAAGATTGGCCAGAAATCTCCAGCTGTGAATCTTGAGAGCATCTCCTTGAACAGAGACATATGGTTTCCATTAGCTGGGTCAGAAAAGAATGGATTTGCAGAAAAACCCAAAGAAGGCTCCAGAAAGAGAGGAAATTGAGACAGATGTTTCATGGAATGCAGGCAGCCTAGAGGGAGAAATGCACTCCAGACACGTTGCCTTGAAACTTTAACTTTGTAGGAAAATGTTTGCACATACTTCTTACTGATAATTCTTTTTTCCACTGACTTGATGCAAAGCTGTAAGATCTCATTTGTCATCCAACCTAATGAGGTAAAACAGCTTAGGTGTTTATCAGAAACTATTGTGTTCATGCTTGCTTGCAAATAAAATGAGCAAACACTTTTCAATCCAAGGGAATGCGATGCCTTTTCAGTTCAGCAAAATTGCAGACTATAACCTCATTGCACTGTGCCTGGAGAGCCTTTTGCATTGTAAATACATTTATTCCTACTACTAAGTAGAAGTTATTTGAGCTTCTGTCTTTTTCCTTCTTCAACAGTCTGCATACTGTGACATGACAATGTGAGGCACTGCATGCAGAAAATGAAGCCAGGGAATCGTAGACCTGTTGGTCCACGTGGGAGATTTATGTGTGCTGCAGAAATCTAAATTTGGACCTAAACACAAGCAGCCAGACCACATCCTTACCCCTACTCACAGCTATAATCGATAGTGTGGAAATATATTTTTATTTAGCCTCCGATGAATATGCATTCATTCTGTCTTTGTGCGTTCATTCTCCTTTGACTCTGCGTTTCATTCTTGCTTATTTCCTAACAAATTGAAGTTTCAACCTGCTGCTTATATTTCTTCCTTAAGAATGCTGTACTGCAAAGGTCTTTTCAGTGCATCACGTTGCTAGAGGCACCAGTGTACTTGACAGTCTTCTGAATCTCCTGACACCATGGGACTTGAGTCAGTTGCTTTGAAGAAAGCGACTGTCTATTCCCAAGTAGCCTTAGGACTACTGGAAGTTTTTGTCATGGTAAACTGTGCTTATGAATACATTTTGTGTCTTTCAAAGAGTATATACCAGAAATGACAACAGCATATCCTAGAGAGAGTGACCTTGGAGAGTGAGGTTTCAGCAGATGTCACCATGGAGAGCTAGTTCCAAAGAAAAGAAATCCTAAGGCCTGTTCAGTCCTTGGTGTGTCTGCAGTCTGGACTCCATGTAGGCAACACAGCACTTCAGTGAAACCTCAGGGTAAATGGCGCTGAAGAAACTTTGAAGTGTTTCACACTCAGGCTCTGCTCTCTGGAGAAATAATAGGCTACCAGTATAGAAGTATCCTGTTAAATTTCTTTTATCAGACTGTGCTGACACTTTTACTATATTACTTCAAAATATTAAAGCTTTTAATTTTCTGATAATGAGTAGAATTTTCTGTCCATCGCAAAAACTTAGCAGCATTTTAAGTAGCAATCTATTAGGTTGAAAAGAATTTTGTGATAATTCTTTTGTCCTTGAGGAAAAAGCACATCTAACTGATGCACAAAACTTGCTAATAATAAGCATTTTTGCTTCTTGGTTTTAGAGTTAAATTGTGGAAAACTACGTTATTCAGTAGCAGCAGACACAGTTCATCCTGATTGCTTTCTTGGCCAAAGTCCCTTGAGTACAGATTTTTTATAGCACATGTTATTTAAACCTGTTATGGCCATTACAAAACACTTGGTGCCATTGTACAACTAATGCAGCTTTTATATTTTGTGGATATTTTGATATTGCTTTAGTCTTGACACAATCTGTATGTAGGTACATTGAGAAACTGAATGACAACTTGTGTGTAGTAGAACAAAAGGCTACAAAGGATTCAGGTTACCCAGATTTGTTTCTTATTTTCATGAATAAATGAAGGTGTCAGCAAGTAGAGGAGTTTGTTTTTATTTTATTTGTATGTTTTTGTTGTGTTTTAGAGAAGAGTCTACAGCGTGTTCACTACTAGATTGGACTCATGATGATCTGCTGTTTATAGGCTCCCAAAAGCTGGGATTACAAGTGTGTGTCACCACGCCCAGTCTCAAGTGCCATCTCAGCACTCCCTGGGGGTGGGGCCGGCACACCAGTCTGCGGAATTGAACCCCCTGCCCCTGAGCCTGCTTGCAGGTGCTTTAATCTGCTGAGCTATTTGGCTGGCCCCTGAAGAATAAGTTTTTAATTCCTGGAAAGTTTGCAATCTTTATAATTATTTAAAGAACAACACTGAACACAGGCTAAGAATTATGCTTTAAGTATGATCAAATGTACATTTTACTTGATATTATTTCCTAGACATCTATTATTAGCCTTATTTTCCCTCAACATCATTATCTACGTCACCACTCACTGTTACATAGAATATAACAAATTTCTCCTTATACCATATTAGAATTTCTTCAATATTTATGAAATAAAAATGACCCGATAAGAAGATAATATCTCCTTGCTAACCATTCTTAAAATAATTTCATAGCATTTTATTATTCATAA